ATTTATTTATGATTTGAGTAGCTAGGATGATGAAGGCACTTTTCTCTGATAGAATTTCCAGGATTAAACATAGACAACGGTAGGAGTAGAAGATGAATGCAATTTTGGAAGTGAATTGAAGTACCTAGGTGATGTCTCTAGCTGCACTTATCAGTTTGGATTGGTCATGCATTGTATGTAATCATCATCATTAGGAATAAAATAATTAAAACCAAAAGCATGATATACTAAACAAGGGGGAATATATAAACTTAAGTGAATATAGTAGCTGGAATAAGAAAAAAAGACTAAAACTGCTGAATTTTAGTTGTTATTTTTTTTTTTTTACACTTTGGCTTGTAGGTTTACTAAAACTAATTGGTCTATAATTTTCTTTCATTTCTAGAAATGTATCCATTTTATTAACAATATAGCTCTCTATACTAGTCCTTATAATCCATTTTATATCTGTGGTATCACTTCTAATGTATACTGTTTCATTTCTCAGTTTACACAGTAGAAAGTTCTTTCTTCTTAGTTCATCTAGCTATATGTTTTTCAGTATTTATAATTTGAGAAATCCCATTGATATTTTTTGTTCTTTTTATATTTTCATGTAGCTCCATTATGTTTCTACTTTTATTATTTTCTCCCTTCAGCTAATTCTAACTTTAGCATCTTGGTCCTCTATTACTACTATTTAAAAGTTACAATACTGATTTGAGATCTTTCCTTTATTTTAGTGTAGGCCTTTATTACTACAGATGTTGCTCTTAAAACTGCTTTTGCTTCATCCAAAATGCTTCAGAATATTGAATTTTCACTTTATTTTATATTAACATAGTTTCTAATTTCTCTTTCATTTCTTCTTTGCATCATTTTTTTGTTGAGGAATGTGTTGTATAATTCCAAATACTTGTGACTTACCTAATTTTCCTTTTGCTATTGGTCTGTATTTTAATTCTATCATGCTCATAACAGATATTCAATATGATGATAACATTTGCAAATGTATTAAAACTTGTTTTATGAGCAAACATGTAATATATCTCAGAGAAGCTATATTTGTACTTGATAAGAATATAACATATATATGTATATATCTTGAATTATATATATTCTGCTAAGCCTCTGTCTAAGCTCTGGGACAGGATTTTAACGTAGCATGTAAGTCATTACTTGTGAATTTTACATTCTGTATTATAGCACCTGGTTCTTGTTCCAGCTCCTGTTTCCCATACAGCTTCTTACTAATGCCCAACCTACAAGGCAGCAGATGACAGTTTTTGCCACACTTTTGGGAGACTTGAATTGAGTTCCTGATAGGTTATACTCACATATTCTAAGAAGGTGGAACCTGACAAACCTCTAGCTGCTTTGGGCACTGAGAGAAAGAACTGACAGACTGGAGTTTTCAAGCTCTCTCTTTGAGAGAAACAACACAAATAAAATAGATTTAAAATCTGTAGCAGCCTTGTCTATAAATACATTACTTTTATATGAATGTTGTTGGAGTTGATGTACAGACACAGCAATATGTGGATGTTGGATGGATTACCCACATGCACTTTCAAATTATCAATGATGGGGCCCGACATGGTATCCTAGCACCTTAAGTCCTCACCTTGCATGCACTGGGACCCCATATGGCCCCTGGATCCCATATGAGCGTCAGCTCATGTTCTAGTCACCCCACTTTCCATCCAGCTCCCTGCCTATGGACTGGGAAAGCAGTCAAACATGAGCCAAACCCTTGGGACCGTGCACCCATGTGGGAGATGGCTTCGGATCAGCACAGCTCCAGCAGTTGCTGCCACTTAGGGAGTGAATCAGTGGACAGAAGGTCTTCCTCTCTGTCTATCCTCCTCTCTATATCTGCTTTTTGCATATCTGCTTTTCCAATAAAAATAAAATAAATCTTTTAAAAGAAGAAATTATCAATAATCATTTGTGATAAAAACAATCTGATCTAAATATGAAAATCCAGAAATGGGTAGAAGATCAACGGGTATAGATAGCAAAGGGCAGAATATGACAGTAAGTGATGTAGATGATGGTATAGAACTCAAAGGAGAAGAAAATTTCAACTATAAGTGGAGGATTAATTGTGTTATCTATTTCATTTTATTATATGAGAAAGGCTGTTATGCCTCATATATAGAGACACCAGTGTTAAAAATAAATTTACTTCCAAGAAAATATTGTAATAGCTGGCAAAGTTAACGGAATGAAAAGAAATACTAGATTTAATATGTATGTGGTACTCTCAGCTAACACCTAGTTTCAATGTAACCCTGAGCAAAATGTGACTCCAGTGTACTTATTATGAATTAATTTCAGCTACCAATGTCTGATTAATGATACTGAGGCAGAATTTTAATTTCATGATATATAATTGTTTTATAACACAAATTTATGCTCTACAATGGAAATATTTTAATATTAATCTCTAAAATCTTTCCAAATTGATATGTTGATAATACCGATCACTGTGCTTTAAGTTTAAATATATGCAATGGTTTTACCATGATTTAAATATGTAACATGAAGACTAATATTGAACAAGATTAAGTTTTGTGAATTTGAACTAGGCCTAGAATAGAACCATGATCAGAGAACAGAGTATAATAATTATCAGTACATTAAGCTGTCTCACCCTAATCTAAACATAGGATCCAGAATCCTTTACAGCAAAGATCCATAGAGGCCTACTGCTCCCCAAACGTATCCTAGGTCCTAATTGTTTCCAGATTTCTTTTGCCCAGAAAACACTAGCATTAAAATAGCATTGTCCTGCACTGACAACTGAAACTTTACCCACAGTATTACCTAGCAATCCAAATCTTGGAAATATATCCAGATGAAGTGTAATCTATACATGATAGTGCAGCTTTCAACCTTATATTTATAATAGCATAATCAACAATAGTAAAGACATGAAAATAATCTAGAAGCCTGTCAAAAGAGAAATGGATAAAGAAACTGTAATATCTCTAACCTGTAGAATACTAGTCAGCCATCAAAATGAATGAAATTCTAGCACTTGTAACAGAGTAGTCCCAATTAGAGACCATTATGCTTGGTGAAATAAGCAATCTCAAAAGGACAAATGTCATATGTTCTCTCTGATTTAAGGCAACCTTCATAGAAAATGCAAAATAAATAAATACACTTGTTTATCCATTTATTTAATATATGTAAGTGTTCTGTATAATGGAGACTAGATCACCAGGACATGAAGAAGTGATAAAGTATGCATCTCTAACCAAAATAAAGGAAGGTTTCCCAATGAAACTGCTAAATATGCCTTATTGATTTGATGAAAGATTTTATCTTATTGCCTATAGATACAAAATCATGATACATATAAATAGCAGAATGTTGAAATTATGGCTACAGCTGCAGCAGTATTCATTTGTAATAATACAGGAGAAATGAGGAGGGGTGTTGGGAGTGAGGAAAAAGAGAACAAGTGGTAAGCTCTATACCTATAAAATTGTATAATGGAAAATAAGAATAGCAACAAAAGAATAGCACTACCCAACAGAATTTTTTTTAATTATGGAAACATTATATATCCACATTACACTATATGGTAGTCTCTGGCATTAGTGCCAAATAGCACTTGTGCAAATGTGATTAACAGATAGTAGTATTGTACTGGAAAACACAGCTCTATAACTTGTTAGATAATCTTAAAAACATAATTCATATTAGCAGGTTAACGAACAATCTATGATGTGCCCGCAAGATGACTTTTACCAGATTAGTACCATTAGCATGGTGCTTTAATACAATGGAATGATTCTATAGTAATGAAATAATAGGGAATTCAATAAACTGAATTTGGGGGCATGAGACTTTTACACAATACATAATAAATTTTATTACATGGACAATGGTCTCCTGCTTGTATGTAAAACTGACCTTTAAAGTATAGATTGCTTCTTTGAGTTTTGGTTCATTGAGAAGTGGTAGCTCTTACTTCCCTAGAGTATAAAATCAATACATTCACATTACCATTGAATTTGCAAGCCAGAACTCTGCTATTGCCCTTATTCACATAATTTCTTTAAAGTACATATGCTCTGAGGTCTCCAGTTTGTAAATATCCATGAGCAATAATCTCCAGAGGTAGGTGAATTCAAATAGAAACTCAATTATCCAATTACACATGTGAAAGTATTATTTTGTTTGACATCTCAACCTTTTTCCCTTTCTTTATTCCCATTGCCGTCACTCCAGTAGTATTATTTAGCTTCCAAAATCAAACATGGTTGAGAGTAGTTGCGCAATATTTTTGCATTTATTGGGCTCAGACACATGAAAGTATTAAAGTATTTGACATTGAAGCTAATTACTTCCAATGCTTTTGGAATGACATTTTCAAAACTCAACTCTGTCTACTATGCATTATAATTTTGTATCATGCTATTCTCTAATATTAACTCTCTACCATCACAATATTTGATTAAGTGGTAACAATGCACATTTTTATTTTCCCTCTTCCAGTCTCCCCTAAGCCTCAGTATCAATTTCCTTACTTTAAATTAGGCAAAAAATGCTTACATCATTGAAGTTTTAGATGGATTTGAATTTTTATGGAAACAAAACATCTAGCACATGATAAATATACAACAAATTTTTAAATGCTAGGTATATGTTTTCTCTATTTTCTTCCTTCCTATAAAATTCTACCATGATTTGTGTCATTTATATAACATTGTATTCCAAGGGATATTTGTGTATATATAATTTATAAATGCATTTGCCATATCGCAATTTCTTTGAAGATGGGAGATTGTGAAGCAAGCTTTTATTTCCTTACAGATGAAAATAATATCTATTGTATAGTGGGATATTTAATAAATAAATCTATATGCAGTTTTGCAAGAATATGTAAGAAAAACAATGATCAAATATGCTTAAATGCAACATGATTGTGGTTATATTTCTTTTTTTTTAATGTCTCACATATTTATTACTGAACCAACCCACTACTAATCAAACATTTCCAGCTGTCCATACGATGGTGGTATCCTTAGCTTGATACAGTCAAGAGGGTGATGTTGATACAGCACAAAATATATGTTCCATCTGTTTTAGTGCAGTTCCTCATAGATTCAGCTTAGTTCTTCTTCAGTGTCTCCTCTTGGAGTTATACCTGATCTTATTGCCAGTTTTCATTGGAATCCATTGGGGAATGGGAAATTTTTGTTTTTGTTTTTTGGCCAGGAATCTCTTGATTCTGAAGGTCTTATGAGAAGACATGGCGAAGAAGACTCCAGGCCACGCACCACGATGGCAGAGTGAAGGAGAAAGGAGAGAGAAGGTGGAAGAACCGTGGTTTTATTTCTTATCATGTGTGGACCTCCATCTTCTCACATATAAGACGGAGAAGATGAAATGTCTACTTATGGGGGCTTTAGACACAGTTATTAAGATGATGCATAAGACACTCACATTCCATTGTCAGAATGCCTGGCTTTAAGTAGAGGCTCCAATTTCAATTCCAGCTTCCTACCAAAGTGACCCTGGATGGCAGCAGGTTTCAGCTCAAGCAGCTGAGACACTGCCACCTATGTAGAAGTGGACTGCGTGCCTGACTCCTGACTTCTCTTTGACCAGGCCCTACCTGTTGTGTGTACTTGAATAGTGAATCAGTGGATGGAAATTGTGCCTCTCTCCCTTGTTTTCTCCCTTTTTTTTCCCTCCATCTCCCTCACCACACTTATATTAATAACTTGTAAAAAGATATATAACTACAAAGTTGGTTGTAATATGAAGAATAAAACTTAGCAGGGACCAGAATTAAGAAGGTTCTAGTTCACAACACATCTATGTCCATGTGAATTTTGCATTCAGAGAGGTGTCAACTGGAGACTACCTATAAAACAGTGACCACAAAGATAAAAATTTCAAAAAGAAAACATAGGAAAAAGTTCACATTTAATGTTTTTTTTTCTTGTGTGTGTAATAGCTTGTAGAAGGAAAAGCATTTAATTCTTACTCAAAAGAGTAAAAATAAAGTAGTATTGGATATTAACTACGTGGAGTTTATAAAAAAAATAGACATTTAAAATCACTTCAGATGAAGAAAAAGAAATTCAGCACATAAATTCAAATTTGTTTTGCAACAATGCAGTTGTGAGATCTTGAAAAGGTCATTTCTGCGAGTCTGCTTTTCAAATATCCAAAATTTAAGTTAACCAAAACAGCCTACGGTCTTAATATTTCTGTAGAGAGATAAAATGTACTTTTGTGTATAAGTAAAATTTGAGACTCAAATGTATTCTAAGAGATACAGTGTAAATGAGATTTCCAGGAATCAATATGATTATGAACTAAACTGAGTTAGTACTAAATTTGTACTTGGAAATACGGCATTTACTGATTTATTTTCTCTCAATAAATAATTCATTCATAATTGTATGGTTCATGGAAAGCACCCTATTCTGTAATTTCATTTCTAATAATATATTAAATAATCTCTAAGCCAAAAGCCTAGAAAATCTTGAAAGTAAAATATTACCTGTACCTTGTGAAAGTTGTATTATTTAATAGAGATTTTTGTGCAACTCTAAGAATAGATTGTTAGTGTTTCTCTCTGAAAAGAAACAATGATATTAGAGATATAAAACAATTTCTTAAAGTTTAGTTGCTTGGAGAAAACATTATTAAAGTGAATGTGGTTTAGTACAAGTCTGATATATTCGATTTAAATTGTTGTATGTTGTGTAAAATAAAAAAAAAAAAACTTCAAATTTCATCATGTTCTTAATGGTCATTAAGTAGAGTTCTTTCAATGCCAATAGCCCAAAGCTACTAAAATATGGAATGAGGTATTAAAATTTCATGACACAGTTTCTTTAGCAGTAGTTTTACTGTGGCAACCTATCATTCAAAAAAATATGAAACTAAGGTTTTAAGAAGTATACACATGACCTCAAATTGTTGAGTTTATTTTTGAATTTATCACAGGTTAAAGTAATTCATGGTACTTTCATTATGCATGAAAATTCCCTGTGAGACAAAATATAAATCAAAAGATATCATTAAACCAAGGATGGTAATATTTAATTTTATACTTCCAAATCTTACCTCATGGTAATTTTACACAGAAATGTGTATATTTATTCTACCTTAGGAAAGCTCTATGCAACACCATATGGAGAAAGTTATCTCTAGGATAACTGCCAAAGAAACTGTGTGAATTATATGCCTGCGTAAATTATTTCACTTAATTCTCCCCAAATCTATGGAGATAACTTAAATCCATCATTCCAAATATATAATACATATAATCTAAAATTCTGAGAAGTAAATAAACTTGCTAGAGGTCAGGCAGCTACTGAGCGATAAGAGTTAGGAACTCAAGTCTGTTTAACTACAGGCCTTGCATTTTTGGTTTTGTTTCTGATTTTGTTATTTGAAATGTAGAGTTACAGGGAAAAATAGTAGATGGTGTATGTCAGAGAGAGAGAAAAAGAGAGATCAATCCTCCATGTACTGATTCAGTCTCCCAATGGGCACAACAGCTGGTCCAGCATAAAGAGGTGCAGGGACCCAAGTAGCTGGATCATTTTCTGCTGTTTTCTCAGGTGCATTAGTAGAGTACTGAATATAAAAATGCAGATATTACCCAAACTAGATTTCATATAAGATTCCAGCATCACAGAGAGTGACTTGAATGCTGCAGCATATTGGTACCCAGTGCTCACTATTTTAACTACTGCTCAATTAATTTCAATAATATCAAGATGAAACAGGAAAAAAGTATATTTCTAAATTCCATGTCATGACATGTTTCACAAATCTCATTTTAGTATTATTCTGAAATGCATCTTACTTGTTCGTTGGTATTAGTTTTAAATTATACTTTCTCAAACTTTGGGAAAAATAACTACATTGCAAGAGAATATAACGGTAGCTTTCTACTGTTTGTAGTTTTTTTGTTGTTATTGTATTATCTATACATTAAAATTCTTCTTAGGCATACAAAGTTCATATACATGAAGCTGGAGACCTGAGACTTGCAAAATGGAATTTAATTATGTTTGATAAGTGAGCGTTTATTTCCCAGGGACAAAATACCAAAAATCCATTTGTAAATCTGACTTTTATCAATCTAAAAGGTATAAAAATCCAAATGAAAATTATATGGAGAATTACTGGAAAAAGTAAGATAATATTGAGGAGACAGGCATTGATATTCATTCTAAAATATATTAAATAAATAAAATAATTTCTGATTTAAAATACTTCATGTAGATAGATATAGATATAGATATATATCAAAGTATCTTGGGGACTTTTGATGAGTACCTTACCCACACATCCTGAACATAATTTTATAAGATATTTTTAATGAGGAGTGTCAGATAACAATAACTTAGAACTTATTAAAGCTCTTGTATAACACATATTGTGATTTTAAGTAGCACAAAACATCATGTAACTACTAACCACTTCATTAAATGTGTGTACATGATAGAAAGCAATTGATTTGTGAATAAATAAAATGATTTTCAATGATGTGACTCTATCTTTCTAGTTAAATGATTATTAAATATTTTATGTACTATACCAATGTAATTAATTCAGCCTATCTTAAAGTGCTGCATTACATATATACTGTTTGAGAAATAGACAGATAGCTCCCATTCATGGGTTACTTTCTAAATGCCTGCATCAGCCACAGCTGGGTGAATTCTAAGCCAAGAGTCCAAAATTCAGTGAGGTCTCATATGTCGGTAGTGCGTACCAGAATTGAACTGAGGCACTCCAATATGGATGTAGGTATCCCAATTGCTGGGCCACATGATCTATCTATCTATCTATCTATCTATCTATTATAATATCTATTATATTTTTATAATTAAATACGTTTTTAATTTACAATACAATTTCAAGTTCTCATAATCATTGTACTTCATTATAATATGTCCAATTCTTTTTCAAAGTGTTTAGTTGTTTATAAAGCCTATTAAGTCAGAATTCCTCTTAGATCAGATTATGAGCAACTGATGCTTCTCAAGTTTTATTCTCAGATACATAGTTCAGGATAACATTTCCTAGTCTACATTAAAGCGTGTTTTATTTGGTTTTGTTTGTCTCTATAGCATCCATTCCATCCTTCTCTCATGATTTGGCAGCCTTGTAATCCTAGTATTATTGATTTTCATTTCAGGAGGAAGCAATGAGAAGGCTGGTACAATTAACACAACATCACTTCTTAGATAACATGGCAAAAAAAAAAAAAAACCCAAAAAAACAAACAAACAAACAAACAAAAAAAAACGCTCACCAGAAATGACAAATATGTAGCATTCCTCTAGACATCATGATTGGTTTAGATTGATTCCAAATGAAGCATAAGACTTCATATAATGGGGTTGTGGGTTAATGTAAACCCTGCAACTGCTGTTGCCATGTTGCTATAGTGAGGAAGAGTTTAAAAACAATTTTAACATGTGGAACAACACAGAACTGAGCAATTCTGAAAAATCAAGCTATGGGGTCTAATAAAACTGCCTGAAGGCTTGCCCCTAGGTGTTCCCAACTGAGTTTTGTCAATACATTTTTTTCATTGTTTGAAAGAATGTGAAATCAATTTTCTGTCACTAGTCATCAAAAACATCTCAACAGAAATACCTGGAATTTTAAATTTCTTTTTAAAAGCTTTCATAAATGATTACTGACTTCTTCAATAATTTTTTCCCTCAATATTGCTTTTTCAGTCTCAGAGTTTCCTGTAATATTTTTCTACTCCCTGTCTGCTCAACTTCTATTTCTCTGTCCCTTGCAATTTAGTATGGCTATTCACAGGTTGCACATTTTGTTTGCCATTCACTTGAAAGACCTTCAGCCAATTACAACTTTGGCCTGAAAAGTATTATTCCATAGACTACTCTTGTTTCTGAAATTTTAGTCTGTTGGTTTCCTTGTAAGTAGGCAATATTCCATTTTGGTGAATACTCCTAACTATGGACTAATATTACAATAAATCATAAAAATTATTTTTAGATACCAAAGTAAATGGCTTAATGTTACTGGTTGCTTACTGAAGTATTTTCATTTTATAGAAATCATTGCGTTTGTGATGAAATTTATCCATCCCTTTATCTAAGAATCTGTTTACCCATGCATTTTTCTTTAAATACAATGATTTCAAATAAAAACGTCCATACTAATTTTGATACATCTCTCTCTATGCTCATTTGTTTCCACAGAATATTTTTCTTTTAATCCAATGATTTTAATAGGTATGC